ATTGTTCTCGTCGGAGTAATTGATATTCATGTTTGCCACTTTATGTGTTTGGAGGCCAGGCCAGAGCTTCAGAGGTTGACGAATTCCTGTAGAGAACCCTGTCTGTCACTACTATGTGTACTCAACTTATAATGACTATGTGATCTTATATGATCTGAAACTATAGGGATTTTTTTCATCTTATACTTCTTAAAATAACCATTTAAAAATCTAAAACTAGGGCTGGGGGGAAGTGGTGCTGTGGTTCAAGTGGTAAAGCACTCACCTTGAGCTGAAGAGCTGAGGGACAGCGCCTAAGCCCAGACTTCAAGCCCCACAACCAACAACAATAACAAAATGCAATATAGCCTGGTGCTGGTGGCTCACGCCTATAATCCTAGCTACTCAGGAGGCTGAGATCTGAGGATCACAGTTCAAAGCGCCCAAGCAAGAAAAGTCTGTGAGACTCTTATTTCCAATAAACCACTCAGAAAACTGGAAGTGGAAGTGGCACTGTGGCTGTGGCTCAAGTGGTAGAGTACTCGCCTTGAGCTGAAGAGTGCAGTGACAGCTCCCAAGCCCAGAGTTCAAGCCCCACAACCGGCCAAAAAAAAAAAAACAAACTAGGGCTGAGGGTATGGCTCAGTGGTACTGTACACACACACACACACACACACACACACACACACACACACACACACACACACACACACACACACACACACACACACACACACCCCTCCATAAATATAGCACTCACTATTGTAAAAATATAGAGTCCTTAACTTTATTTAAAAGTCAGACTATCAAAACTAGTCCTCCACTTTCTCAACTTGAACCATGTCGGTCATCACAGCCCTACCAAGAAGTTACCTGGTCTGTTCTGTGATACCTCAAGAAACCCATTTCCCTCTCTCAAGTCTTTGTGGGTTCTAGTACACTTTTAACTGGTTTAGTCTGTATTGCATCTGCTTTTTTTTTTTTTTAAACCATTCTGGTGATTTCTGTTAACTTCACAAATTTGCCTATATCACATTTTATTTTCTATCTCATTTTAAAACTTTGTCTTGGGGCTTCCATGTCTTCACTTGGAAACCAGTGTCAGGAATCCTCGAAGACATGGAAACACTATCAAAATGAGTGTAAAACTCACTGAGATCCTCAATAAGGAACGTAAACCAAAATAGCTAGAAAAACTGTGTAAGCAAGAGGAAGCCAAACCTAAAGCTGCTTAAGCAATTTATCATCTAAAATACAAGGTATTTCAAGGCATCTAGTACATACACATGTTGGCTCCTGGGCTGGTGGCCGGGCCGTTGTCATTGCTGCTCGGCAGGCCTCGCTGGACTGCCAGGCTCCTCTCATGGTCACAAGATGGCAGCAGCAGCCCCAGCACTATGTCCTGTCCCTAAGGAGTTCCTGAACTTTCTAGGTTATTTCTTCCCTTTACATGCTTAAAAAACAAGGATATCAACTAGCTATTTTTTTTTTTTGGTCGGTCGCAGGGCTTGAACTCTGGGCCTGGGTGCTGTCCCTCAGCTCTTCAGCTCAAGGTGAGCACTCTACCGCTCGAGCCACAGCGCCACTTCTGGTTTTCTAGTGGTTTATTGGAGATAAGAGTCTCGCGGACTTTCCTGCCCAGGCTAGCTTTGAACCTTGAGCCTCAGATCTCAGCCTCCTGAGTAGCAAGGATTACAGGCGTGAGCCATCAGCGCCCTGCTCTATTTTTTGAACTGTGATCCCTCATGTGATGGTTAAACCAAAAACAAAGCAAGTATAACAAACAGTTTCCATAAAATGTGAAACAAAAGTTTAAGGTGCTGGTTGTTACACCTGTAATCCTAGCTACTCAGGAGGCTGAGATCTGAGGATAATAGTTTGATGCCAGCCCCGGAAGGGAAGTCTATGAGATTCTTATCTCCAATTAACAACCAGAAAACTGGAAGTGGCACTACAGCAAAGTGGTAGAGTGCTAGCCTGGAGCTAAAAGGCTCAGGGATAGCGCCCAGGCCCTGAGTTCAAGCCCTATAACTGACAAAAAGAAAAAAAAAAGGCGGGGCAGGGGGTGGGAGAGTGTTTAAGGTGCTTGCTATTTGAGAGATGTCACTTTTTTTTTTGGCCTCAGCTGCACATCTTACCCTAATGTATTCAATCTCAAACATTACAGCTCTCAGCAGTCAGCTCCAGGGCTTTCACACCCAGATGTTTCCAGAAGGAAGCTACCTGTTGAAATCTGGGTCAAAACTGGTCTAGCAGCTCTGCCACAGCTTCTCGTGAGAGCCACAAGAGTCCATCTCCCTCTGCCCACACTCTAATTCCATTCCCAGGCCTCCAAGCTTTTCCCTGCTACTGACCTTTGCCAGGGTCAGTCTGTCATGCCCTAGAACTGAGCCTTTTGGAGGAGTGTTTGTTCTCCTAGGGCTCTGCAAATTAAGAGGGAAATGTTTAATGTAGTTCCAGAAGAAAAAAGAGTTTCCAAGGCAACAGTGCTGTGCCTGCCTGCCTGCCTGCCTGCCTCAATGGTTGCTGAACTAAGAGACCAGGCCTTTTGGAAAATCACTGATCATTTTTTTTTCTCAAATTTTACCTAACTGCAATTAACCTGCTGAGTGAAGGTCTTGTCAACATTCAAAGCTAAAGAACCAGCGTTGGAAGGAAGGCGAAAGAAGCTTCAACTGTAGGCAAAGTATGGCAGCCTGCCTCCCTCCTCTCTTTCCCTGGAGAGGAGTATGAGGAAATGACAGCATCTCTCTCCTTTTATGTCATTTTCTCTTGCTTCCATTTTTTTCCCTTTGAGGATGAGCCAAGAAGTCCTTTTGGTCCTAGACTGTGGATCCAGATGCTGTGAGAGTTACCGAGAAGAACAGAAGAGGAGCTTCAGGCTTGAAGACACAGTGATGAACGGGAGTTTGGAGTTGTTTTGAGTGTCAGTCCAGCTCACCAGAGAAAAAGGATAGCCACAATAGGCCCAAGGCTATCAGCCAAGGCTGACCACCCACTTTTCTGATAGCCACCATGCTAGGCCCTCTTCTGTATCTCAACCAAATCCCTGTCCATAAATTCTCACAAACTGGTTCTTCTTATGGACAGTGCCTCATCCAAACTGGGAGAAAAATGAAAAACGAACAGTACTCCCTTATGACCATTCTCAGACAGATGAGGCTTAGTAGCATTGTTCTTGTGTATGAATGTGCTGGTCCTAGGGCTTGAACTCAGAGCCTGGGTGCTGTCCTTGAGCTCTGGTGCTTAAGACAAGTGCACTACCACTTGAACAACAGCTCTACTGGCTTTTGTTGTTGTTGTTGTTTTGGTTCGGTTGTGGGGCTTGAACTCTGGGCTTGGGCGCTGTCCCTGCGCTCTTCAGCTCAAGGCGAGCACTCTACCACTTGAGTCACAGTGCCACTTCTGGTTTTCTAGTGGTTTATTGGAGATAAGAATCTCATGGCCTTTCCTGCCCAGGCTGGCTTTGAACCGTGATCCTCAGATCTCAGCCTCCTGAGTAGTTAGGATTACAGGGTGAGCCACTGGTGTCCGGCTTCTACTGGCTTTTTGATAGCTTTTATTGGAGGTGTCTCCCAGTTTCCTGTCTAGGCTGGCTTCAAATCAGGATCCTCAGATCTCAGCCTCCTGAGTTTCTGGAATTACAGGTGTAATTGCACCAGTGCCTGGCTTATTCTAACTTTTTTTTCCAGGTTAAATATTGTTATTCTCAACAGCTCCCAATGGCATTAGAAGGTAACGCCTAGAGCTCTATCTCCCCTTCGCCTCCACGGGTGTGCTGCAACTCATCACTGAACCTCCACAGCTTCTTAAAGCAGACACAGTCTGTGTGCGGCATGGCTCAGATGAACATAGGGGATGAGGGCATTTCCTCTCAGAAACATAACAAAAGACAAAAGACTTGCATTTTATTGGAGAATAAGCTTTGGCTCCTTTGCCATCTCCCAATGTCCAGGATCCAGTTTCCTTGTCCATCCGCTGAGCATCTTGGTGGCTGAGGGGCTTGAGTCAGCAGAAACGTTGGGCTCTGAACTCTGTCACAGCCAGGAAGGAGGAGGGATGCCTGCTGGAATGCTGGGTGATAGGTAAAGACAGGATTAGTGACAAGGGCTTCTGGGGCTCCAGGATGTGGCTGTCTGAGTAATGTGATAGGGTAGCAGGTGAAAATAAGCAGGGATAAGCCTGGAGGGGAGAAAAGGGAACAGACACCAGCCAAGCACCTTGCCGGGACTGCAACACCATTGAGCCCTGAGGGCTGGTGTGAGGGTTAAGAGATTGCTGCTCAACCACCCTGCTGCTGTACACTCCTGCACGGTGCTCAGTCACATTCATGGAGGGGTAATACTTATGTCACAACCAGAATTCTTATCAGACCCAGTGGGAGCGGAGGTCATCCTGTAACCTACCACAAAGGTAAAGAGTGTGGTTTTTCGAGAAAAGTCACCTATCTCTCTGGAACTGCAGAACATGTTCAGGGTATTAAAGTTTTCTCAGACTTGAACGAACCTAGGGCCAAAGGAAGCCAGTTAATAGAGTTCATAATAATGAGAGTCATTGCTTTTTTTTTTTGTAGTAATTACCATTCAGCAATTATTAGGGATTGGTTTAATTTCTTCAAGCATGTTGCCACAAATTCTAATATTGAAAAAGTATTGGAAGCATAATAAAATGAGACTTACTGATTGAACCAGTGAAATTTTTCAGACAAGTGGAAGGGCTTCCCTTTCCGAATCTCCCTCCTAATGGTTCCTAATGGTACAGGCCCTGGGCCTGAACTCAGGGCCTGTCCACTGTCCCTGGCTATTTATCCTCAAGGCTAGCGCTCCACCACTTGAGCCACAACCTGATTTCTAGCTTCTTGGTGGTTAACTGGAGATAAGAGTCTCATAGACCTTCCTGCCTGGGCGGGCTTCGAACCATTCACCTCAGATAGCCTCCTGAGGGGTAGGATTACAGGGGTTGGGTTTGGTGGTTACCATTGTTAACCGAGGAAGGACGCTGGTCTTAATCGAGTCTGCATTTTAAAGCACGCACCCGTGCCGAGCTCCCGCACCAGCGGCGCTATTTCTGCCATGGTGCACACGAAGGAGAGAGGACTGAAGTCCCGTTCTCAGCCCAGCAGAGAAAAACAGCGTCTTCTGCCGGCGTGGCCGCAGCCGCCGCTCCGCAGCCCTCTCCCTGGGCGCAGGACGGCGCCGCTCCGGGCCCCCCTGCCCAGCCCGCCCGCCCCCAGCCTCGACGGCCCGGGCCCGGGCCCAGGGCGGCCGAGCCCGGCCGCGCAGGCACGGCGGGACGCCCCCTTCCGGGCGGCCTCGGGGGCTCGAGGCTCCTCCCGCGGGCCAGCTTCTAGAGGTGACTCGAGCTAGCGCTTTCCTCGTGGTGCGGCCGGTGTGAGGCCGTGGTCCCCCGGGACGACTCCGGCCATCGGCTCGCGTGTCCGCGGCGCGCGAGGACAGCGCGGCGCCGAGCCGCCGAGGCCAGGGACGCCGGAAAGCCCGTTGCCGGCCCGCGCGGTCGGCGCAGCGGCCGTCACCACGGAGCGGGCCGGGCGGCCGGGCGGGCCGGCGGGCTGGGAAGGGGGCCGCTGGCCGCGCGGGGGTCACGTGTCCCGGTCACGTGACGCGCTGCCGGGCGGGCGGCCGCCGAGGGGGGCGGAGACTCGGCCGAGACGCGGGGTGGGGGGGGGGGGAGGCGGTGGTGGCGGCGGCGGCGGCGGCGGCGCGGGGCTGCTGGAGGCGGAGAGGCGCGGAGAGCCGCGGGGGCCGCCGCCACGGCCGCCCGGTAGGTGAGGCGGCGCGGGGGCCGCTGTCACGGGCCGCGGCGGGCCGGGGTCGGCGCCGTGTGGCGGGAGGGGGGAGGGAGGGACCGGCGGGGTGCGGGCCGGGGCGCCTTCGGGGCCGGCGGGGCGCGCGTCGCTGTCGGCGGGTCCGGTGCGGGCGCCCGCGGGCGTGGTGGGCGCGGCGGCGGCGGGGGGGGGGGCGGCGGCGGGGCGCGGCGGCCGAGGCCGGGGCGCGGCGGCCGGCAGGCTGGGCTGGGTGGGCCGCCGCTGGGCTCCTGACGAGGGCGCGGCGCCCACCGGGCGTCTGACCCCGAGCTCCCGCGGCCGCGGCGGCCGCTCGGCGGTGTCGCCTTTTGTTTCTGCGTGTGGGAAGATGGGGCGATGGGGCGCCGCGCGCGCGCGCGCGCGGGTGTACAAATCAGGAGGCGTTTGGCGTGGAGCCATTTTTCCCCCCCTCTTAATCGTGGAGACAGAAAAAAAAATCCCTCCAAACGGTTTCTCCCGGGGGCCGGAGCTCCGCCCCCCCCCGTCCTCCCCACCGGCCCTCCCCGCGCTGCCCACCTTGGCGTCCTCGGTCGCGCCTCCCGCCCGCCCCACCGGCGGAGCCCCGCGAGCGAGCCCGGTCACCTGTCGTGGCAGCTGCTTGGAGCTCCCGGCGCTTCTGCTGTCGGGAGTCTGAGCAAATCCCGGAGGTTCCGCTGCCGGCGCCAACCCCGCCCGGGGCCCCGGGCCTCCAAACCCGCTGCCGGTGCTCCCGTGCGAAGTTCCCCCCGCCGGGGCCGCGGAGCCGGGAGGTGTCTGTCTGTCACGACACCACTTCAAGGTTGGGAAGGTTAGGGCCCCGTAGCCTTGTGGGAGGAGATGGGGGTGACAGTCCTTTTCTGGGGTGGTCATCCTTCCAGCTAACCTACCCAGCTGATCGGAAAGTCCGCCAGACTTCTCCCCTTGGGGCCCACCTCTTTGTCTTTTATGGTAGTTGGGCCCCTGAAGTGTATCCAGTAAGTCCCCTTAGCGGGCCGGTTGGTCTTAGCGGAGGAAATGGTTTCTACGGTTTTGAAGAATGTGAAAACCGGTTCTGGGATTCTTCGTGCCTCTTGCAGTGTGTCTGGGGTCTCCATTCTTCCTTATGAGTTTCGTTTTTGTCGGCCGGTGGCCTAGGATCGGAGGTGGAGATGCGTGTTGAGTGACGCGCGCCTCGCAGGTTAGCCATACCGCTATTCAAGAGAGCCAGGCCAGGACTCTTGGCCTTCAGGTGGGGCGATGAAGAGCTGTTGATTCCTGGTGCAAAGATAGATAGCTCCATTGAGAATGGGAGTCGTAACCCCTCCTCCTTTTTCATGGTAGTTAACTGCAGGGGAAATGATTATATGATACACTATGAGTAGCCAAATGGAGTTAGCTCCTCAACTTGGAAAACAGCAACTTGTGTGGAAGAGCTATTAGTGGATGATAATTCCCTTTAAAAATGTTAAAAGAGCTTTGTTCGTTTTTAGTAAGGGTTGTGCTGCTCACTGGTGGGAGAGGTGTTGACCCTCCAGACTTGTAAGTATTCCGCACCGAGTTAGAGGGAGTTTTATAAGGGATTAAAAAAACAACAACAACACAATGGAGTTTGCAGATATGGAAGCTTAGAGAGCCATGATCATTTACATTCCTTACAATAAGATTTTTTTTTTTTTTGGTCGGTCATGGGGCTTGAACTCTGGGCTAGTACGCTGTCCCTCAGCTCTTCAGCTCAAGGCGAGTGCTCTACCACTTGAACCATAGCACCACTTCTGGTTTTTTGGTGGTTTATTGGAGATAAGAGTTTCATGGACTTTCCTGCCTGGAATGGCTTTGAACCATGATCTTCAGATCTCAGCCTTTTGAGTAGCTAGGATTACAGGTGTGAGCCATTGGTGTCCCACCAAATACGATGTATTTACTACTGCATCTCTTAAATAATATCCTCTGCATTTAGAAAGGATGTGTTCATTGTATTGAACATTCTGGTGTTCACATGGAACTATGTGTTTTGTTATTTACACTTTTCTTTCCTACTAGAACTGATTGTGTGTGTGCACATACATATGTGTATGCATGTGTGCACCGGTACTGGGACTTGAACTCAGGATCTGGGTGCTGCTCCTAAACTTTTTTGCTCAAGGATAGCACTCTACCACTTGAGTCACAGCTCACTTCCAGCTTTTTGGTGATTAATTGGGGATAAGAATCTTACAATCATCCCTGCTTAAAATTGACTTTTTAATGTTTTAATGATTGGTGGTATATTAAATGTGTGTTCTAAATTGAACCATCCAGTGTTGACAGTGAGATCCCAACTAAGTCAAGAATAGTAGAGACAGCAGCCTTTCATCAGGCCACTTTCTGCCCAGAGTTCAGACCCCAGTGCTGCTCTATACCACCTGAAAATCCTAAACCAGATGAATTGGTGGCACATGCCTGCCATCCCAGCATTCAGGAGGTTCTTGGGTTCATATCTTGCCCAGGCTACATAGTGAGATCCTGTTTCAACATTCCTCTCCCCAAAAATGTAGAGACTCATACAATGAGCTAAATGTTGTATCTGTCACCCAGCTTTAGCAGTTAGAAAATGTTGGCCAGTGTTATTTGAGGGATACTTCCTCTCCCTTAACATTAGATTACCGTAAAACAAAGGAAATTGTCTTACAATTTTGTTGGTAAATAAAAAGTTTCCTTAAGTAATAAAAATACTATTATTCTACTTTAAAACAATAATTTCTTTCTTTCTTTCTTTTTTTTTTTTGGGTCCAGTCGTGGGGCCTGAACTCTGGGCCTGGGCGCTGTCCCTCAGCTCTTCAGCTCAAGGCTAACGTTCTACCACTTGAGCCACAGCGTCACTTCCGGCTTTTTTCTTTTTGCTTATGTGGTGCTGAGGAATCGAACCCAGGGCCTCAGGCATGCAAGGCAAGTGCTCTACCACTGAGCCACCTTCCCAGCCCTAAAACGATAATTTCTGATTGGGATATAGTTTAGGATTCTGCTCCGGCACCAAAAAAAAAAAGAAAAGAAAGTTAAATATTCTCAATGTCTCCAAATATTCACTCAGTACTCCCAGGCTACCCCCATATATATATATATATACCATATTTATTGTGAGCTAAAGACATAAACACATATTTTTTTCTTTGAATTTGAACTTGTTGTGGAATTTCTGTCGCTGTCTGTCTGTCTGTCTGTCGGTCTCTCTCTCTCTCTCTCTCTCTCTCTCTCTCTCTCTCACACACACACACACACATACACACACACACACACACACACACATTAAGACCCAAAATAAAGCCAGGCGCCAGTGGCTCATGCCTCTCAGGAGACTGAGATCTCAGGATCACGGTTCAAAGCCAGCCTGGGCAGGAACATTTTTTTTTTTTTTTTTTTTGCTGGATGTGGGGCCTGAACTCTGGGCCTAGGCTCTGTCCCTCAGCTCTTCAGCTCAAGGCTAGCACTCTACCACTTCCACAATGGCCATAGCACCACTTCCAGCTTTTTCTGCTTATGTGGTTCTGAGGAATCGAACCCAGGGCCTCATGCATGCAAGGCAAGCACTCTGCCACTGAGCCACCTTCCCAGCCCCATGAGTACATTTCTTTTTTTTTTTTTGGTCCAGTCGTTGGGCCTGAACTCTGGGCCTGGGCGTTGTCCCTCAGCTCTTCAGCTCAAGGCTGAAGGCTAGTGCTCTACCACTTGAGCCACAGCGCCACTTCCAGCTTTTTTTTCTTTTTTGCTTATGTGGTGCTGAGGAATTGAACCCAGGGCCTCATGCATGCAAGGCAAGCGCTCTACCACTGAGTCACCTTCCCAGCCCCCCGTGGGACTTTTTATCTCCAGTTAACTACCAGAAAATTGGAAGTGGAGTGGTGGCTCAAGTGGTAGAGCACTAGCCTTGAGCTGCAGAACTCTAGGACAACCCCCAGGCTCAGAGTTCAAGCCCCATCGTGCATGCGTGCATGCGCACACACACACACACCATATATTGCAATTACAGTTTGTTTAAATTCTCTTTAACTCATCTCCATCTTTTTTTTTTTTGTATAACTTTATTGAGGAATCTGAGTTTTGCTGATTGTTACCCTGTATGTTCCTTTTTTTGGGGGGGGGGGGGGTCTGGTCATGGGTCCTGAACTCTGGGCCTGGGCCCTGTCCCTCAGCTCTTCAGCTCAAGGCTAGCGCTCTACCACTTGAGCCACAGCGCCACTTCTGGCTTTTTTTCTTTTTGTTATGTGGTGCTGAGGAGTCGAACCCAGGGCCTCATGCATGCAAGTCAAGCGCTCTACCACTGAGCCACCTTCCCAGCCCTGTTCCTTTATTTCTTGTGTTTCCTATACATTAGTAGTTTGTGAGAAGAATGGGGTTTGTTTACATGCTGAGTATTCTATCTAGGGTCTTGGTGCATGCCAAGCACACACTCTACCACCTCCAGTATGGATTTCATTTTTTTTTCTGTGAGTAGAATTATTTATTTTGCATATTAGTAATTACTTCCAATCATCTTGATTCATAAGGATTATAATTTGGTGGTTTTATTTCATCTTCCCCTCTTTAATTTTTAGGTGAAGTACATAAGTAGAACCTCTCACAATTAGTTGGTTACCTTGAAGTATAGATTAGGAAATGTGTGAAAAAAAATTTTTTTTTTAAATCATCATTTTCAAAGTCAGAGCTAGTTCCCAACATCCACCAGTGGTCCTGAGGATTTTTTTCCCCTCTTTTAAAATGTCTTTTCTGAATTCCCTTATGTTAGTGTATATGACGTGTTTCCGTCCATTGCACTTGTCTTTTGGTGCACCAATTACTCCACCTTTGGGCTGGGAGGGCTTATTCAGGTTAGTGACTGAGATCTTTTGACCTGTCTCAAGCAGTGTAATAGCTTCCTAGTTTTCTGGTATGATGAGATGTTCCATGCTCATCCTGTAAACTTCCTGTTTCAGACTTGAAATCAGAACATCTCTCTCCTCCTCCTCTCCCCTGACCCCCCCCCCTTTTTTGAAGTGTTTGTTGGTGATTGAACCCCAGGCCATACATGTGCCAGGTGAGCACAGTACCTCTGTGTTACATCCCCAACCCAGAACAGACCTTTCAGAAAGAAAAATACTAAAAGTTAATGTCCAGTGTATTGAAGTACTTAGTTTCAGTAGTCATTAAAGAGATGAAATTAAAAACAAACAATATTGTTATGAACTGAATACTTGTTTCCTTCTACCCAAATTCTTTAGTAGAAACCCCAGGGTCAAGCGAAAGGGGCCCTCCCAGTGGGATTAGTGGCCTTATTAGAAAAGTCACCAGAGAATTTGCTCTCTTCTCCTACAGATCCCCCCCCTCCTAAGGAAATTGTGTGAGCCTGCCTTCAGATGGTATAGCCTACAGATCAAGAGCGAAGTCTTACCTTGCTGGCCCTTGATCTTTGGCTTCTTGCCTCCAGAACTTTGAGAAATAAATTTCTATTGTTTATGACACCCAATCTCTGGTACAGTTGGCCCTTGGTATCCACAGGTTCTTTTTTTTTTTTTTTTTGGGTCCGGTCATGGGGCCTGAACTCTGGGCCTGGGCACTGTCCTTCAGCAATTCAGCTCAAGGCTAGCGCTCTACCACTTGAGCCACAGCGCCACTTCCAGCTTTTTTCTTTTTGCTTATGTGGTGCTAAGGAATCGAACCCAGGGCCTTGAGCATGCAAGGCAAGCGCTCTACCACTGAGCCACCTTCCCAGCCCTCCACAGGTTCTATAGCTACAGATTAAACCAGTTGCAGATTGAAGAAAGATGACAAAAATTATAAATTTTTAAATTTACAAAATGATGAATTATTTTTAAATTGTAATTTCCTACTTATTCCCTAAACAGTGCATTTACATAGCATTTATATTGTATTTAGATGCT